CAGGCGTGTGTGTGCGTGTGCAGAGTGACCCGGCGGCCCCAGAGTGTGTGTGGCGCTCCTGCCCTGTTTGCACGTGACCCAGGCATGTGTGTGCTTGCAGAGTGACCCGGTGGCCACCCCATGCGTGCGAGGTGCTTGCAGGGGGGCCTGGTGTATGTGCAAAGCCACCAGGCCGCCTCGAGCGCGCATGTTTTGCGGGGGATGTCGGGAATCGTGACTCCCCATGTTACAGCTCGGTCTCCTGTGGGGGTTCCTCTGCCCCCCGCATTGGAATTTCAGTCCCCTCGTATTCCCTCTTGCCTGGGTCAGGCTGTGGGTTCCCTGCTGGGGCCTGGGGCTTAGTTTGAGCGGGAACCCGGCGCCCTCCTTACCCCCCCCTGGCTGTCCCCCCCCCCCCCCCCCCCCTTTCCAGAGCCTGTGGACCGGCCCCCGGTGCTGCTCATCGCCAACTCCCAGAACATCCTGGCCACCTACCTGAGCGGCGGCCCCGTGCCCAACATCACCCCCACCAGCACCAAGCAGACCACCGCCATGGACTTCAACTACATCGAGGACACGGTGTGCTGGGTCCACGTGGGCGACAGCGCGTCCCAGACCATCCTCAAGTGCGCCAAGATCCCCAACCTGAAGGGCTTTGTGGAGGAGCGCTCCATCAACATCTCCCTCAGCCTGCACCGTGAGTGGCCGCTTCGGTGCTTTCGCCCCTCCCACCCCTTGCGCCTCTCCGCTCTCCCCGCCTTCCTGCTGCCGCGTCTGCGCCGCTTTAAATGCACCCTTCCCACCCCGGAACAGGCCGGAAAGGGGGGACCCTGGGGGTCTGGCCTGGGGTAGTCACCGGATCTTTAAGCAATTCGGTGCACAAGAATCCAGTGGGCTCCGGGGTCTAACTCCCCTTGGGATCCTCGGCAAGGCCTGAACGTCTTGCGTTAAAGCCAGTCATAACCATTCCTTTATTTGGTGGAAAAATATTTGGTTGATTTAAAACAGCTTTTTCCCAAGGGCCTGTAGCTTCCTCCCCCTTTTGCTTTGATCCCTTCCTGCCTCCTGTTTACAATTTCCAATGAGCTGCGAGCGCAGGTCGGCTCGGGATCGATCACCTCCTTGCGCGGGGTGGGGGGTGGGGGAGGAAATCGACCGTGGTTGCTGGTTGTTTTTGTATTTGAGCCCTGTGCTTCTGTTGCCTAAATCGGCTCTGGCCGTAGGTAGTGATTTAAACCCCCAGAAATTCCCCCAGTGGAAGCAGCTCCGTGGGGGGGAGGCTGAGTCATGGCCAGCGAGTCGCAGATGGTGGGTTTAATTCTGTTTGCGTCTCCTGAGCTGTAATGAGACTGGTTGCCGGGGGCGCCGCTTGGGGTCTCGAGCAGGGGGGAGGCTGCAGGTTAAAAAAAACGTACCGGCCAGTGCTGTTTTATCAATAGTAAAGCTGGGGGGCTGGTCTGGAGGCTGTGGCGGGGTTGGGGGGGGGCAGCAGTTGGCATTTAGGGCCTTGGGGGTGTGGAGCAGGATCAAGGGGCTTGGAGGGTGGAGATTGGGGTAGACGCGGAGGGTGTGGGGGGATTATGGGTTGGAATCAGGTGGGGTGGGGGACAGGCCTTCGGGTCCTGCAGCAGTGCTCAGCCAGAGGACGTGCTGGGAGCACGGGGGGAGGGTCTTTGCCCCTCTCCGCCCCCCCTTGTGGTGCCCTGGTTGCAGCAGCCGAGTCCATGGGAGAGTGTGCATGGGCTTGGGGTCAGGACGCTGCTGGGTGAGGAACCGCAGGAAATCTGTCCCGATGTGGGAAGGGGAGGGGGTGAAACTCTCCATTCTCCTCCTCCTCACGCAGCGTCAAGCTCCATCAAAGCCCGGTGGAGCTGCAGCCGCGGGAAGCTGGTGTGGGAGGAGGCAGGAGGCCCGGGACTGTGACTCAGGAGGGCTGGGTGCCATTGCCAGCACTGATCCATGGTGCGAGTCACCCGGTGGCGTTTGGCGTTACGTGACTCGCAGAGGGATTTGGGGATCTAGCTCCTTCGGAAATACCACGCCCCCCCAGGCCTCTCTTCCCCAGCTGCGACGTGGGCATCGTCCCCTTCCTTCGTCCGGCCTGTGGGGAGTGGAAGCCCAGGCCCCGTTTCTAGCTTGGGGCCGCTCTGACCAGCCACGCCTTGCGTTAAAAACGACGCTTTTGCTCCCCGGGACTGATCTCTGCACCGCAGTAAAACCCCAGGGGTTCGGCCCTTCTCGGCCTCGTGTGGAGGGTCCTGCTAGGGCACCGCAGCGTAGCTAGGGCCCTGGGGCAGTGGGACGAAATCCTGAGCCCTTACTGCAAAGTGGGGGTGTGGGGAGGAGAAAGATCTTTCCGAGCGCTCGTGACCTTTGGACCCTGGAGCAACTCGGGGTGTGTGTGTGTGTGGTTTAGGGGGGTTTTGGGCCACCCCTGCGGAGACAGGGCCCAGGAGAGGAAGGATGATGCACTAGCCAGACAAACCAGCCGGTGAGTGGCAGGGCATGCGGGAGAAGGCCAGTGTCGGGTCAGACCCATGCGTCTGTTGTGTCAATCAGGTGGGACCTGTCTTCATGGGGCTGATTTGACTCTGGACTACAGACCAGACCACACTGAATCAGTTGCGAAATCTGAAGCTTCTCCTGAAATCCTAGATTTTTTTCTGCTTTTCTAAAAATGCACCGTCAGGGGCGTGGCTGGGAGCAACTGATTTCATTGCAGACTCAGGGTTTAGAGGAAGGCCTATGGCTGCTCTGCCGAGCAGTCTGGTGAGCCGTTCATGCCGGAGGAAGGCTGGGCCAGCGGTTAGGGTTTAGGAGCGCTGGGTTTAATTCCTGGCTCTGCCATAACATTGCTGTGAGACCATGGGCAAGTCACCGAGCCCCAGCTTCCCCATCTCTCCGATAGCACCAGCCTGCCTCATAGGGGGGGTTGTCAGGATAAATGCATTAAAGACTGTGATATGCTTAGCTACTGTGGTCATGGGGCCAGAGCAGTATCCGAAGGACCGTCTACCTTAGGGAGATACATTTATTTTTTCCTTGATGCCCCTTTGGGGGATGGGATTCGCACAGGGCACAGGACTCCTGGGTTCCATTCCTGGCTTTGCCATTGCCTTGCTGTGCGGGCGTGCCATTTCCCCTTTCCGAGCCTCAGTTTCTCCACCGATGAATTACCATTACCCACCGTGCTGTGCTGGATTTCTTGCTTGTAATACTCTGCACGTTTGCTAAAAGCACTCAGTTAGTGTAAAACATGATCAGCCTCCCAGAGGGAGTAAAGACCAATGCTGCTTTGCATCTCCTGGGAGTCTCTCCTCTTGCCAGAGGGAGGTTTCGATACACAGCCTCAATTAACTGTCTGTGATAACCCCAGAGAGCTGAGAAGGCGGAGACCTGGGGCCCTGCAACGATTTCGGCTGCTGGCTCAATCTACCCCGTTAGACATGGTAGCGGAGACCTGCAATTACTGAAAGGTGTCTGCGAGCAGCTTAATCACAGGTGTTCCGGGTGTGCTGTTGATCGCAGTCCCGGTGTCTGGGGTGGCTGAGGTAGGGTGTGATCTGATTGTGCAGTCTCTCTTCAGGAATTAGCACTTCCCTCTTGAGTTATGCTCATCCAAAGCAGGTCGCGGGGTGTTTTGCTCGTGTTGTTTTGCCCCTGGTAACTTGCACAAAGGAGGAAGTGAGAGATGACGGCTGACGTTTGGAGGATCGCTTTCTGGCCTCCCGAGTGCTCCGACTTCTTCCAGAGCTATCTTCTTCAGAGTTGCGTTTGGGGAGAGGAATGTGCCGCTCAAGCGGACGGGATGCTGTCAAGACAGGAGGAAAAACAGAGTGTGTTTCAAATCCACCTTTCCTCAGTTGCCTTCCTACTGCAGCATTGAAGTGGAGTGGGAGAGTGGGGGCTGTGCGTTCCACCTCCAGCATTGCCAGAGAGTCCCTTTGTGAGCTTGTACAAGTCGCTTCATCTCCTCAGGCCTTCTCTTGTCTATTTCGCTTGCAAGCTCTTCATGGCAGGTGCAAATCCAGGGACTTCAGTGGAATCACATCCTCTTACGCCGGGACCAAATTGTCCTGTTAACGTAGCCATAAACACTATACATAAGAAATGTGATTGAGGCCTTTTGGATCAGTAACGCTGGAGCTTCGGACTAAAGTCTGATTTAAATGTAGTAGCTCTGTTGAGGTGAGATGAGGAGGGTGTATGTGCAACACCTACGAATAATGCAACATTTGGGGGAGAAAACCCATGTGAGGCTTAACAATAATTTACGACTTGTCATGGATGCAAGAGTCCAACCCCAAGTGTCCCGAGCTCCTGAGTCTGGCTCCCAAGATGTCCTGAGATTTAAAACAATAAATACATTTGGGGTTCTTTTTATTTGACTTCTCGTTTCTGAGCTGTGGGTTTCGCTTGTGTTTCCAAACTTTTCTCTGTAACCATGAGGACGAGAAGCTTTTATTTATTTATTTATTTTAAAGAAAGTTGCGATTCTCATGTAGTCACTGGACTCCGACAGCTGGGAATTAAAAAAAACCAAAGCAAAACCCCTCTGCAAACAGCGCAAGGTGCGTGATAAAATCAGGAGAGTTGGCAGCACCACCGATGGTTCTTTGGCTTATGCATTTCACTCATCTCGGCCTGTGAAACTAGACAAGTCAGTTTCACTTTCTGCTTTGCCTGCGTCAGTTTGAGTTTCCAATTCTGCTGAGAAATCTTTCCAGGGTTTATTTATAAATGCCAAGCTTAAATCGAATGTAAAGTTTTATAAATGCTCCCTTTACCTTCTGGGCCTAAGCTGTTCTGTGTTTAAGAGATCTGGTCTTACCATGATTTTATCTTACAGGAGAGTAAAGCTGCTCTGTAAATCCAGTTAGTGGCTCCTTTATTTACTTGCCTCTTTATGGCATTTATCTAGTGACAGCAGGAGTCTGGCTTCCCCAGTGCCTACTGCTAATGGGGTTTGCGTTAGCATCTGATGGGGAAATCCCAGTGCTAAAGGGTTGCGAATTACCAGCCCCCCGGCTGGCGTTGCTGTGCTGGAATGATGAGTTGTGTCTGTCCGGTTCAGATAGTAGCTGCGCATCCATGGTTTTTCTGCGGAGAGATTAGCGTGACTAGCATGGCAGGAGATAGGGCTCTCAGCAGAGGATTGGCAGGAACCCATGTGCACGGATCTTTCTGTTTTCCTCCACTGCTAACTTTTTATTCAGCCAAATGCCCTGGGCACAGATGAATTTCTGCGTGATGATTCTGCTTGTGGCTCCAAATGCAGACTGCCGGCACGACAACGCTTGGATCGAGAGTTGTCACTGGAGCTGGTTTCGCAGCTGCCCCAAATGACTCAGTGAAGATCCAAGGTGCCTTGGAGCCATCGCACACCCAGGGACTAATTTTCCTTTCAAGGATGACACAAGTCTTGCCCTGTCGACACTGAGGGACAGAGAGAGAGAGATGGTGTGAAGGAGGAACTTCCAGTGCAGTAGCAGGGAATTGCAAGTTGTTGGATAGGCTGCAGGAATGGCCGGCTGAAATTTCTGTGGCTTGTGTTACGCAGTTGGGACTGGTCCCTCCGTACTTCATAATCTGTGAATCTTCAGGGTGCGGGCTGGGTTAGCGGCACACGGTCCAAGCCACTTCAGTCTCATCCTGTCCCCTTTAAAAATAAAATCCCTGGTGACACACTGCTGCGTT